AATTCAGAAATATTAATGTGCATTAATAGAGCAATATTGTACATGAACAAAAAGAAGCCTCTAAAAAAGGATCCCAACTTCAAAAGTGTCAGTCCCATTTTCTAATGTCCATTTTCAGAGATAAAAAAAAGCATGCTTAGAGCCAATCAGGGTTTAGCAAAGCTCCTGTAGCCATAGTCTAATGCAACTGATGGTGCAACAGCTATAATGGGAAGCAACGTCAGCTGCAGGTCATACATGAGTCATGAGTTAGAACTTGACGTTCATGTTATTTTAAAACATGTTACAAAGGTGAGTCATTGTCAGATATTTATTGACTCTCAAAATCCAGTTTCCTAATGTTTATCACGGCAGAAGGTTCAGAGGTCACCGCCTTCCTTTGTCCACAGATTTGCAGAGATGTGGGTAAAAGAGGGCAGAGACACTGCATGACAAATCCACAGTAATAGGAGGAAGTCTGTCATCAAAGCAGACAAGCATATATATACTGTAGTTTACTAGTTACACTTAATTAAGCTGGGCAGATATTCACAAACCCCAGCTTACATTTTCTATTCAGTTCATTGAGGTTTGAAGGCATTTGTTCATGCTCAGCTCTCTTAAGCTCCTCCCACAACATTTCAGTCAGGTTGAGGACTTTGACTAGGCCACTGCGACACCTAAATGTTTTCTTTTTCATCTATTCTGCTGTAGATCTGCTGATGTGTTTGGGATAATTGCCTTGTTGTGGGGCTGAATTTGGCCCAAGTTGTGCATCTACCCAAAGGACATTGTTCTAGGAGTCTTAAATCTTAACTCAAGACATGTTGCCATGTTCTGGTCACAGAGAATAGGTTTTCTCCTGGGAACAACTCATATTTTTCTAATTTACTGTCATGAACGTTAATATTTAACATGCTAACTGCAGTCTATAGAGTCTGAGATTTAGCTCTTGGACTTTTTTGGCAATTCCTGTTAGCATTGCACAGTCAAATGTGATGAATTTGCTGAGAAATAAACTTCTGGAATGATTGTAGATTGTAGCACTGCTCCAGAGCTGCAAACTGCCGAAACTGCACAGTGTCCTGTGAAAACATTGTTTTTTCACATGCCCATATTTAAAATTGAACTAAACTGACTTTGTAGTATCTCAAAAACAGTGATCAAGTCAGTCATCATTTGAATTATTGGACTATCTCTGATTAGCCTCATAACTGGGATGCTAATGCCCACCTGGAAACATTAAGTGCTGCCCAGATGTTTGTTCTTTTGGGGGAGGTTTTTCAGTTACTGTGACACCAAAACTACTGATGAGCAGAGTGATTTTCAAATTACTTACTGTGACGTCCATTTTAACTTCATCTGGGATGAAGTAGACTGTGACTGATTGTACAGACACTGGGGTGAGGGTGACACTCCGTGGGAAGAGGAAAAAGAGGATCAGACAGCAAATAAGGAGACACAGGCCCATGGAGATGCACACATGCAGCTTCCTGAAACAGGGATATGCAAAATTACATTTTAAATAGAGCAACAGTGCAAACCATAAACACCAAAATATTTCTAACTCGCTTGTTCAAAACTGTAAAAGCACCCCTCACACACACACATTCATGTACTGCTCTACTCCTTACGTGCGTCTGGGTTTCAGCCGTACATCGTTACACGGTATGACGGCAACGAGCTGGTCTTCTTGTCCTGCCAGTACAAGATGGAAATAAAGGTTTTGTTCTTACCACAGAAATGATGTGAAAGTATCTTAGCTGACACCAGCACATGCATAGCCATGTTTTTCAGTCTCCTTCAGTCAACTTGCTATTAAATGTGAAATGAAAGTAATTTGGAGAAGAAGAAGTAAACACCGTGTCAGTTTTTCACGACTGGTTCCTCTAGTTTTTATCATGCATGAGAAGCATTCAGCAGACAATGATGTCAACGCCTTAAAACTCCAGTCAAAACAGTGGAAAATTGACAGTAAAGACATGTAAAAGCAGATTTTTCTTCACAAAAAAAAGGCCAACCTCTGGGGATTCGGCCAGTGCCACGGCACGTGGGGCAGTTGTCCCCTGTTGTGTTTTCATCCATGCTACCATATGGAGGAAAGTGCTTCATTCCTTTCACCTTCTCCATCTTTTTTGTTACATCAGGATCTCCTTTATTTTACTGCTGTGCCACCATAGCACTCCTGAAAGAAAACATCCAGTAAAGAGCGTGTTAAAAGGGCAAAAACCACAGTTTATAACTCGCAGTAAACAGAAGTGACTGTTGCCCAGTCAGCTGTTACTCGCCACCCTCACAAACCTTGAAATGACCAATAAATGATGCTTGTTACTGCAATACGTGTTAGGATGTGAGCAGAATCTACAGTGTGGGAGTGATCAGAACCTCCCTGAATTACTTTTATGTTTCCTGTCTCCGTTTTAAACTATGCTTTTTATGCTCATTTGTACTGGAGTAGCTTTTGAAGTTCAAAATCATTATACCAGGCCTTCCCGAAGACCCCCACGTGACAAAACCAACTTTCAACTAACCTTTCTCTGATTGGTTGCCCCTAGTAAACAGATGGTGGTCAAGACTGACACTACACAGTCATAACATAGATAGATAGATAGATAGATAGATAGATAGATGGGAAGATAGTCAAAACATTTGAACTCAGATGACAGATGTTAAACTGGTTTGCTGTGTTTGCTTTGTGCTGTCCTGCGGAGGCACAAGTATGCAGGAAGTCTCCATAAAGCCACACTAAAACAACAGTGTGCTCTGTGTTTTAGAAACACTTTGTACTCAGTCATAAGCTGAATATGAAGTACAATTGTTGCATTTAAATTACATATTTTAAACGTATTTCTATATGAAAACGCAAATAGCTTGTTCTATTACTCAGTATCGTGTGACTCTTTAAGTATAATCAACTAGATAAGTGAAGAAAATTCTTTGAAATAAAATACAATAAAATGGTTTATTTAGATTTCTGTGAGTGGAGATTACAAATCTCATCTGCTGTATATGAAAGACTGATCGTTATTGTGCAAGGCTTGAGTGTGAACAAGTATGTAAACACTAATTAAGAAATAAACTACTGAAAGTGTTACTCCTAAACGTAATGGATAATTCTGAAGTCTAAAATTATCAAATTATTATTAATTTAATAAAATCACAATTTTATATGCGATACAAATTAAGTTAAAAACCTCATCCTCTGCAAACTCACCTCACAGCTCACAACAAGTCCAAATATCATTCAGGATGAGCACTTAAACGCTGCTGGCTCCTTTATGATTCAGCTTTTTCAGAAGCTACATTAACACCGTGGTGCAGCTGCTTCATATACACACAATGTACTGAGTGCAACACTTCCTTGTCTTTTTATGTGTCAGTCATTTCCTGATCACATGTGCTATTATCCAGCCCTACTGTCAGGGTGCTGACACAATCATTTGCATATCAGCTAACGTGAACTATCTTTCACGTTGTGTCGTGCCATGGTCGTTACTCACGACCGAATTTGTTTCCCCTGCGTCGGGAGCGCGCACTGGGCACGGAGACCGGATCCAGTTCCAAACAAATAGACGTGGAATAGTGACGTTTTACTTTTGTGAAACACATTACCGTTCAGTTTGTGGGTTACAACAGAAAATGATTTACATTTCTTGTTCTCACGTGGTTTCGGATTATCTCAAACCGAGGACGTTTTGCCCAATAAGAGGATAATCACGTGTAAACTCGATTCATATAAACTTTAATACGCAATATAACACTTCTTCAACAAGCAAACTGCTCTGTCTCGGTTTCCAGACGTCCTGTAAAAATGTCATTTGCCCTGATTGTTGTACATCTCCAAAAGTTGTCTGCTGGAAACAAAAATACACCTTTCTCAGTACAAACAACTCCCAATTTTCTTCTAGTAAAACACATTTCTGTAGCTAGACAGACCACAGGAATTCATAATAAAAACATAGCCTAATGTAATAAAATGAGCCCCAAATTATTCTGAAAGATCTAGATTCTAGTAGAGATTTAAATTTAAACAAGAAACAGGTAGGAAACAAGGCAGGTATCTCTCAAAATATAACAGAACAATGTAAAAGGAGTAAAAATGGCAATTAGAAAATTATTTATACTCTTCTCAATAATCAATGGAAAAGTTGTATTGGTGTTCAAGCATTCAAATCAATTTTAAAACTGCTGACCAGCTTTTTGCAGGTTTCTTCTGAGATTTTTCTTTGTCAACACCATAATCTCCAACTCCCTGCAGATTCTCTATCA